TAGGTCATCACTGTCAAAGCAAGAGGCTAGAGACTTGATCATGCGAACTGAGACAGATCCTATGACATTAGTATATCAGGACTGTCTCTTTGGTAAGGAAGTATTTTATGTCAAGAATATAGGTTTCCGTTCAAAAGATCATGTAATATCTCTGGTCGAGTTTGAGAAGAAGGCTTTCTTCCCCATAGATACTAAACGTTGGATATTATCAGATGGGATAACTGGCTTGCCTTATGAGCATTGGTCTATTATGATATACAAGAATATGGTCAAAGATGGTATCCCTCATGAAGTAGCAAAAAAAAAGCTATAAGGGCCAAGCTTCCAAAGAAGTATCAAAACGAATGTACGTCTCACATATCTAGTGAATGAAACTGAAATTAATGAGGCTAAGAAATTGCCATAATTAGATTAATGATATATTTTTTTTTGTCAAAATAATTAAGCTATCTCCTGCAATACAAAAGGTACAAAGGAGGGTGATTAATAGATCGTAAAACTCTGCTTACTCTACGAAATTCCTTTTGGGTATTTGATATATAATTAAATGATCGAGAGACTCTAGATAATCTAAAAAATTCATCTTGAATAATATATTGGGATAAGATATCTTGATAATATCTATTAAGTTTGCAATCATGTTTTAAATTTTGAGGGAGATATTTTTTCATATATTCTATAAGATTAGATTTCATTTGTTGAAAGAAGAATCCTCTAATAACATAAACAACTTTTAGGAACCACTCAAATTATACAAGATGACTAAAATGACCATCTCTTTCATGTAGATATATAAGGGATTTATTCCATAATTTACTTATACTGCAGTATTTATTAATTTCAGCTTTATTATTATTATCAAATAGATGAAAAAGGATATTATCACAAATGTTGGAAATATTAATAAATTCACTTTTTCTTTTTTTCTGAATAATATATATGGATACAGCATTCTATTGGTGGCTTACAACTCCTATAGAGGTCTTTCCTATTGAGAAAGCTAAAGATAACTTCAAGCAATTCAGGTATTTCTAAGGCAAGTATTTATTAACAATTTATTTTTTGATTGAAAAAATTGCAATAGTTCTGCAGTATCACATTTCGCAAAATCGATCTATGATTTGATTATTAACTTTTAACCTATTTAGATTAAGAATCAAAGGTGACTAATGGTATCCATAAGCAATGTATATGTAATTTGGTCACATAATATTGCGCTACACACGTGATATTAGGCCAATTCATTTCTGATCGTTCAGGTTTTTGATCACAAAATCCATTAGCCAATCCAAATATGTGATCAAAATCGGAATTGAGAATATTTGATCTTGATTTTGATTGATCTTCTGATTTTTTTAAAAATTTTTTTTTCTTTTCTTTTATAAATGACATATCGGCAAAATATTGAAGACTTATTACTAGTACAATTTATTAAATCGAGCCAAATTTTTGAGGATTCTGATAATGAATCAAATGATTCTGAAGTTGAAAAAGCTGAAGAAGACAAATTTATTTTTCTTGGATTAAGTTCTTTATTAGATTCCTATTATTTACAAACACGTATTTACAATGTTACTAAATCTCAAGAGTGGTGGCATTCAATTGTTCCTAAATATAATGATGTTAGATTTAAAAAAATTATGAGAATTGATTTTCAAAGTTTTCAAAATCTTTTAATAAAAATTGAATCACATTCAATTTTTCAATCAACTGGTAATAAACAACAAGCTCCAGTTGAATTACAATTAGCTATTTTTTTGAGAAGAATAGATTCAAAAGATGAAATTTTTGGAATATGTTCGCGATATAGTATTTCAGAAGGTACTGTTTATTTATATTATAAGAGAGTTATGCTTGCTATTTTTTCATTGAAGTGTGAATTAGTTATATAGCCAATAGGGGAATTAAGAAAAATGGTTCATTTAGGATTTAATAATATTGGAGGATTTAATAATGTTATTAGTGCTATAGATGGTACTCATATAATATTGGGAATTGCTTCATTAAAGCAACCTGAAATATATTAGAATCATAAAAAAAAATATTCAATTCAATGTCAAGCCATTGTTGATTATCGTGGTGTTTTTATTGATTATGAGATAGGATGGCCAGGATCAGTTCATGATGCAAAGGTATATCGAAATTCTTTTTTTTATCAAAATGTTTTCACACTTATAAATGGATAGGATTATTTATTTGGAGATTCAGCATATCCATTATCTAATTTTCTTATTAAACCCTTTAATAATCCTAAAAATAATTTACAAATACAATTTAACATTAAACATTCTTTATATTGTGTAGTAGTAGAAAATGCTTTTGGAAGATTCATTCAGAATGGTATCTCTATTTTTTTTATTCTCAATAGTTACAGGAATACTATCAACTGTACCAAGGGAATGAGACTTACTTGCGACTCCATTAAGTCTGTGAATTTTTTTCTTATCTATTTTAGACTCAAATGCTTAGCCACATTTTCTGAGATTATAGATAAATCAGATCCACTATCAATTATTACATAGAGTATAGTTACCCCGTCCACTTTACAGGAGATGGTTGCTACATCGTCAGCATCTTTTATTTGTAAAAAATTTATCTCTAATGGTTTAGGCCAGTATATAGGAATTAGCTGGGAGGCACTTTGCATGTTACTTTTTTTTTCAGCCAAATGACATTGTGCATATGCTTTAATAGCATGGTTTAGAGTATTAGAACCCACTGGTATTATATCATTCATAGGATTATCTAACTCAGTCTCTCTGGGATCCTCTAACTTCTCTTCTATCGGGACTTGAATAAAAGTTTTTGCTCTATATTTGTGGCTTGAATTAGTGGATGTAAAACATCTATAATTTTATTTGTAACATGCCCCATACTTTTTCCCTTTTCATGACAGTATTATCTTTCATAGCCATATTTAAAATCTGATCTTTCAATTTAAGATATATTGTATTAATATATTGAAAGCCTTCCTTAAGAATTTTTTTAGGAATATGTTGTATAACTGATGATAATATAGATTTTAAGCTATTAGAAAAACATAATCTTCAATCATGGTTATAGGTGCTAAGGGTTTTACTTTTTTACGAGACTTGGAAGTAGGGGATTCCTTCTTGTAGGTCTTTTTCATAGGTACTCCACTTCGCACCACTTTTTTTTTACAGCATAGCAGTTTCAGTCAAAGGTATTTAGGGTAGATTCATCATCATCAACATATTCGACATCTTCTTCTACTTCCTCCTCAACTATGTATTCTATTTCAGGCTCTTTGAGATCTTCCTTTTCCTCAAATATGTATTCTATTTCAGATTTTTTAGAATCATCAGGAGGTCCACTTGGGATTGGATCTTTCTCAACATTTTGATATACATAATTAACCTTTTTAATCTGCTTAACTCCAGGACAATTAATCTTTGTATGACCAGCCTTTCTACAGATTGAGCAAAGATGAACAAATCGTTTAATTGGTGCTTTTTGTACTACCTTTCTAACCACTTTTTTTGTAGCATTAATATTTTTAGGCTCGAAAGAACTCTTTCTTACATGTGCTGTTCTGCTTCCCAATTTTTTTTGAAGATCATCATAGATAAATTGTTCTAAAGTTACGTTAACTGTTACTATTCCTATATATTGCAAATCCCTTGCAAATCGAATTTTAAAATTATCTTTTTGTGAAATAGGAGTAGGTATTACTGGTTGAAATTCTGGTTGATGTAGTATAGGTATTTGACCTGTACTCACACTTGGATTACGTTCTAACCACAAATCTTTTAATTGTGTAAAGAATGCATCTATACCACCAGGACCAG